TATCTCTCCCAGCCGTTGGACACTGCCCATCAGGTCCTGAAAGCCGGGGAATCTCTGGTTTCCACTGTAGGACAGAACCGTCTGGGCGTCCACAAAGAGACGAGACAGTCTGGAGGACAGAGAGCACAAAAGGAGTCTTTACTGGACAAACACATGCAGTAAATTATTAACAGACATTAGTTGACCAGTAAACACTAACTTAACATCTGCGAATACTACCAACTGTGTTGAATGAAGTGCACAGCCGACCGGGAAATAAAAGGACAGCTCACTCCAAAATTGAAAATACATAGCCAATCTAGTTTCATTAAACTCGAGAGAAGGCGGCCATCTTTACGACACTGCCAATCTGTAACTGACACCAAAACTATTTAGAAAGATAACAAACGACCCTACACCATTTTTGATTTGGGCTGAACTGTCTCCTTTGACATGAGCGTATTGTATTTTATTTTTAACTTCGTTTCTTGCAAGATCAAAACCTTTGTGCTATATTTAGCATTCGGACATGACAGCAGTGTCTATATTTTTATCATATTGTCTTTAAGAAAGGGAATAACACTATTCATATTTCCCAACATATCAAACTTTGAAATTAAAGTGGACCTATCATGCTATATTTGAATAATATAGTGTAGGACCATACCTATATAAGGCATATTTATACTTTTTTTTCAAAATACCAAACAGATCATGCATTTTAGCCATGCCTCATTCTGCTCAATTTGACATTTTTTTAGATCTGTTTTAGCAAGGGCTGATTCAGTGAGAACAGCACCATCTACAGGCCTGGCATATGTACTACAGCGTCTCCAGCGCTTTCGAACGGCAATGGCCTTTGCCACCTGATTGGTGGAGTTGGCCCAATAGCCGTAGCGCAACTGTCCTGACGTCAGGACAGTGTTCAAATCTGGATCAGTTTTTATCAGATCCGTTGCAGCCCCTTTTTTAGAGATTTGGGTATGGAGGAAAATAGAGAGGGTTGTGTTTTCTGACACTTGGTGAGTTCCCTGGAACACCGGGGACACATATTCATGTATAAAAGACGTACAAAAGTGCATTTTGCATGATAGGTCCCCTTTAAGTAAACACATTTCTTAGATGCTCGAACACTGGATCTTTCCAGTTTATGACTTCCTACAATGATAAACTATCATTTTGCTCAAAGATTTGTCTCATCTGTTAATCATCAGGCAACAGTTAAGAAACAATGGAGTGGGTTTTTAACCGTGGCTGCCCCGCTCACTACAAGTCTTCAGTAAAGTGTTTGCAGCAGCATGCAGTCGGATCTATAGCTTTTTCTTACCTCATAAACAAAAGTCAAAGTAAATGACGCAGATTTTAAATACAATTTTAATTTGAACATGTATTCACTAATTAAAGTTTGTCTGATTATCTTTTTAGCTTCCACCACTCCAGACAACTGTCCGTGTTTTTACCTCCATTTTACCTACATGGAGTTGTCAAAGTTGCCAACTTGTCCCACTGTCTCCCCCGGGGTCGGGCTGTGGAAGCAGGGGTTGTTGATGTTGCAGATAATGCCCTGGATCCAGGGCAAGGTGCCTGCCGACGGCAAGGCTTTGTTTGGAAAATGACCTACAAGCGAAGGAAAAGAACCCGGAGATTAGCTTGAGATACGGAACAATGAAACACTGTGGCAGTGACCTAAAAACACAAACTACTGGCAGCGGACTGACCAATGATCCTAAAACGCAAACTATTTATGTGAACAAATATTGTGTTTCTTTCGTACAATTAATATGAAATTACAATGTAATTATCTTTAAACTTATGTGAGCTGCTTTTACATGCCAGACTGATTTAAGAAGGGAACTATAGATGGAAGCATTTTCTTATTTTTTATACAAATCTCTAGGAAAATACATGCAAAGTTTTTATGCTCACAGGCAAAAATATTGTCCACTCCTTCACTTGGAATACATTCAATCAGCATAGGACTTTAGTAAACATTAGAAGATATTGATACTTGTTGTGCTTAGAATAATTAAAAGTAGGAATCTCAAGATTCCTTAAATGTTCCCAATTTTTTATTGGAAATGTAACTTTTTCTCCAAAACTAAGTTACCAAGAGGAAGCTTTTATGGGTCAGAGAAAATGTAAGATATCAATCGACAGGCTTATATTGTTTTATGTAGTGTAGTGTCACATTCAATTATTTGACCATGTCGCGTTATATCACCTTCAACTGATGACCGACTTCTCAAACAAGGTCAAGAACACCAGGTTAGGAAAACACATGTGTGTGCGTGCCGCAGAATCACTCTCAGTGAGTTAATCCTGCCTTATCTGATTGGCATGAAGCCATTTTTCAGACCATTAAGTGGGTTTGTGTGTGTGTTTGTGTGTTTTTGAAAAGACATTACACAATAAGACTCACATTGGCTCTGTTTGTAGGGAGGGTGTGAATGGCGAACAGCGATGAGGATGACGAAGAGGAAGAGCGGCCAGAGGAGCTCAATGATCAGCTGGATCTGCATTCAAGGAAAACATGGAGGCTGTAACTAATCTGACCTTTAGTGACCTCTATCAGAGAGATCAGCAGGAGTATTTCCCAACCCTGTCACCTAGTAACTGACAAAGATAGTTGTAAATCTTTCATTACATTTCAGACGTAGGAGTTGAGACAGGCAGATTAGAGAGCTAAGACGAAGACTGGAAACGGGGGAAAGACAGGTTTAAGTCACGTAACAAAACTAAAGGCTGGAATCTAGTCAAGTATGTTGCGGTTATTTGGCAAGCGCTGTAACCATCCAAAGGTCCCGTTTAAGTTAATTTGTTCTACACAATGGTAATATTTATATATTTAATATCCAAGCTGAGTTTCATATGATATTTTTCTCTATAGAATCCACAAACTGTTATATATCTTATTCTGAAGCGAAAATGTGGCTACCTTGTTCCTCCTGCGGTATGTGATGTTCTTCCAGAGCAGGAGGCCAAGCTTTTGGAAAAACCCCATCGCTTTCAACTGCTACCTGGTCATGATGCAAACCTGGAAAACACAAAATGTGGTGAGAAAAAGACAGGTTCAGCATGGTGCTCTATTTGTTTTCTGAAGTTGTTGGGGATACAAGAACTAGGGCTGCTGTGTCTGCACTTCAATTACATCTGGAGACAGTGAATGCAAACACAAAGACAGAACAAGTGCATTTCATGGGAGTCTGAATCACAATATGACTTTTGTATGTAGTGCTGTTTTCCCCTGATTTTGGGTTGATCTTCTTCTTCATCATTCACGGGCAAAATGTAATGTATCTGGAAGTTAGTAGTTGCTCATCTTTTAGGCTCTTTTTTTCTCTATTTAGATTTTAAGCGTGAGATTAAGTGTTTTCAAGAATACTTTACTTCCTATGTGGACTGTGAATAATATGCTCATCATTAGTAAGGACCCTAGTAACAAACTGTAGATGACCTTTACCCTGCAGAGGACACAACTGTGGCTGACGACAGTTTACCTTAATTCCAAGCAGTAAATATAGTTTATATTTCATCCACTCACTTTGAACACAAACATAGCTAAGAAAGTTTAAACATCCTGTATGTGATGGATTCAAATGGCCGTTTTTAAATGTTTTGCAAGTGAAGGTTGTCTTGTGTGCCTGCTGTGATCTGCTCAACATGGACAATCCCCTGCTTTACATCGAAATCCTCCTGATCCTAAAAGCTTACCTGTTACACTTAGAGACTTTCAGATTTACTTTTGCTCCTTCAGAAGAGTGTGGTTTAATTCTCCTGTCTGTGCAGTAGTAGTTATCAAATAATCTGGATCATGATTTGTGCGAGGTTAGAAAGCATTTCAGGTTATCTCAAACTATTTTTATAATGTGTTTTTCTATCTGTTTAGTGTTCAAGGCTTTGCAGATGCTAGCACAGGTATATGATATTTATGGTAGCCAGAGTATTTTATTTACTATTTTAATTTAACCATGCAATATAAGTGTTTCATTTTCCTGAGCTAAAAGGAGGCATATACAGCATGCAACAAACAAACAAATAGTAGGCTATGTCATAAATAATATAATAAATATATGAGGTAGCCGGTACAAACCAACGCTTTTAGTTACTGACACTACAAACACAATGATTAGAAAACATTTCATTTGATGCTATGATAAACTACCACAATTCCCAGTTTACATCACAGTTTTAATAAAGAACATAGTAAGCCTAGCTAACAGGAAGCAAGAAAAAAAAAGCTAACGTCATATTCGGAAATACAGTAGCTTCCTAGCATGTTACGCAGTGATGGTTGAAAAAATACCTTTTCGGAAACGATAAATAAAACGTAATGCGCACCCAAGACTCGATAAACTGCTGTTAATGATTACCTTTGCTGTTATAACAGGTGATAAAATCTCCCTTCAGTGTTAAGGACGGCCGGTGTAGCTTGTCATTGACTCTCCATTTCCCCACTGTTTTTAAATGGCAAGAGTAGCTGAATGAAAGTTCCGCCCCCATGCGACTCTGATTGGCTTAAGTGCGTTTGAGGGGCGGGGTCAGAGAAGCCGGCAAAGGATCTGATTGGCTTCTGTTTATGTTTTGGTTATTGAAAACAGCTGATTGGGCAGTCATTGTAAGCGCTGTGTTATGTTCATGATCACAGAGACTTAGATAAATAATTTATAACAGAAAATAAGTAATAAACTATCTTATAACTATATTCACATAAATAAAAGGCAGCACTTTATTATCAACCGCATATGATTACATTGCATATTAGTTAATAAATAAAGTAGCAGGAAATATTAAGTAATGGCATTACACTTGCAAACATTACATTATTCTCTTTAGGACTATGTAATCATCAATTTGATATCTTCACCAAATATGTTTACAAGTACAAGTTAAGTACAAAATATGTATAGAGCTATATCAGCTGTACGTAGGTATGTCACTTATTTTGAACCGATCAAAAAGCATCTTTTGCATATGATATTTAGTCAGTGACCACTGACTCTTAATAAATAACATCAAGAACAGATCTTAAAGATCATTTTAATGAACATCCAAAACAACAATTTATTAAAAATATACGCATCTCTTTCTCTCTCTATGAAATAAGGCAGTTACCTTTAATTGTGCATGATATCGGCGCCCTGTCAGGCACAGTACGTGAATCTTTGTGTGTATAAAGCAGAGCGCTCTGACAGACACCGACACTCTGACAGTTGATAAGCATGTGTACGTGATGGACTGTCGGTACATCATAATGTAATACACAGACTCTTTTTAGCACGTTCAGCTGAGGCACACTGGCAACACACCAGGCTGGAAGACCAACAACTCTAGTGCAGAACATTAAACACCATTTACTACAATTTTAAAAGCAAGTGAAGCCAAATATATTATGCTTATGAGTCATTGTATCTCAGCTACTGCCTGCATTGTTAAATATCAGATAAATATAAATGGGAAGCTACCATCTATCCCCGTCACTTTAAAATAAGCTTTCACAATATAACATTGTATTTAAAATCTTAAAAATATATAGCTAGACTAGTTTGTTGTATTCAGTGGTGTGACAACAGCATATGCTATGCTGTATTATAAATTGCATAATATTTCCATAATTTGGCAAAAGTCCAGGTAGCTTGAACACTGTGCAGTATTTTTCCCTTTAAGCAGCAGGCAGTGCTCAAAGGAACACGGGCTGCTCCTGTCCGGTTAAAAGTCGATATGTTGAAGCTGGCATGGTCTTCAAATGAATCTGCCAACAGGGAGACAAATTGTAATGTAACTGTAAATATGACATGATAATATAAAGCAGAAACAGTAGGTGAAAGGTCTATTATTGTATTTATGTTTCTGTTTATGAAATAAAAAAATGTCATCCTCACCTCTCCGACAGCATTGGTCAGGATCTGGATGATCTTGTCGTGCGTTGTGGCGACAACACTCTGCCCGTTGATTTCAATGATGCGATGACCAACACGAATGCCTCCTCTCTCTGCGATACCGCCCCGCATCAGACTGCAGATCTGCAAACAGAAAAAGAGATGCTTTACTTTCAAATAAAGACAAATAGCTAATAAGCAGATAATGTTGTCACAGACTGGAGAAAACAGAACAACTAACTGAGGATGACAAAGTTAAATAGCAACAAACAGAAAATATTAATATTGACTTACAATGCCGTCCTCCACACTGAAGCCCAGCTGAAACTTGGGATCTGGCCTCCTAATAATCGCCATGGTGACTGGTGGGCAGTGGACGATGCTGAGCTTCACAAACTTTTGGCTTTTTAAGTCCTGAAACAAACAAAAGAGTTTGGATTATGTGTGAATGTTATGAATTATAGAAGCATTTTTTAAATGTCCTTTAAAATATAGCGGCCCTGACTCTTTTTTTCTTAATTCAGGTTTGCTACAAACAACTGGATGAATACCGATCTTCATCCTTTAAAACCCAACTTTATATCTAAATCCACTTTCAAATCAATACAAAAACAAAACACACAGTGCCATCTAGTGCATCCTAAAGACATAACACTTGCTTTAAAGAAGGCAGAAATCACAATCAATTCAATAAACTCTGCCATTCCACCATAATAACAATAACACTTTAATTACTGTTGAAATATGTACGGTTATAAGAGTCATTCTAATTTTTATTTACCACTCCGTCTTCCCTTCTTACCCGAATGATGTTCTGGCAGGTGGTGATGGGCAGCCCCACCATGCTGGTGCTGTTCACCGACATGATGCGGTCCCCGATGCTCAGCTCTCCGCAGCGCTCAGCCGCCCCCCCCGTGGAGGAGGTTGGCCACCACCACTGTGGGCAGGATGGAGCCCCAGCCCGACTCCACCACCGCCAGGCCCAAGATCTCTCCAGCAGCCTTTGTGATGGCTACCTAAGATAGACAGCAAAGAAGAAATAATTATTTGACCAATTATTTCTCTATATTTATCTTTTTCAGGGTCAGTATTGAAATATATTGTTATTCATAGAGCCAAGTTTATTACAGCTGCTGCAACGCCTAATTGGGGCCACTGTAGGATATCAACTTAGATTTGATCCAGGATTAAAGACGTTTAATTGAGAGAACAAACTCACAAATTTAAAAGAAAATACGCATTGGAAATAGCAAGGTTATCAACATGTGTCATACTGTTACAACTCCTCAATAACGCATGCTTTTGACATTTCCTGTAAACCGGTTTATGAGGTGTGATGAGGTTTATATAACTTGGCAAAATCCAGAAATGTGGTGACATGACAAAAGAATCTGGTAAATATTTGAGTTTTTCTTTACTTTAATCTCACTGAATATCCAAGTGTTTTTATCTTACATTTAGGACTTTAATCTTAGAAATGTTGCATTTTTGCTTTATAGATGACTTCTCTCCCATTGCTTTCTTAGTGTCTTTTTCTAACAACATCAATTTACATCCTAACAACAACAATTAGCCGACTGTGCTTTGTGTTAAGACTAAGCCACAATCACTGTGCTTACATCTCGGATGTTCTGAGAGTCGGAGAAGTGGGCCAGGTCTCCGTTGTAGAGCTCCTGACTCTCCAGGTAGTCACTGTACTCGCCCGGCCTCAGGTCACTGGCCTTGATGCCACTGGCCTGGAGAAACTGCTGGTAGGCCACGCCGAACGCCTGACCGATGGCCTGGGCGATCACCTGAGCCTGGATGAAGAGACAAGGAGAGGAGAGAGAACTGACTTAGAGCCAATTTGTTAAATAAATATTGTTCCTTCACTTTTCTACCCTTTGTTTTCATATGAACAAATGAAGGCAAATGAGTTAATTTGCAAAACATTAAACAGTGCGCCTAAAACACATGTCACACCCTAAAACTAAAACAACAAAAAACTCCTGTGAAAGGTGACTTATCTGTTACCCTATTCATTGTAAATCTCACTTTAAAGTTAAACACTAAGCCATTAGAAGCTGTGATACTGTATATAAAAATAACAATACATTTATTTCAACATTTAATTAGTGATACTATTGCAAAACAGTAACAATAGTGAGTATTTTACCATTGGTTTGAACACAGCTCAGCCAAATATAACAAACGTATATATACTGTATATATAAAAACATTTCTTATACAACTCTTCATATTTTAACAGTTTAGTTGGGAACAAAGTAGTACAAGCAGTGGCCCTATGGCATTCAGTATCCCACAGCTAATTACTTTCTAAAAAGAGACCCTTCCTCCCCCTATTCAGTCTTGCCAACAGTGGGAAACTGGGACGACCGCCAGACCATTTTTATATTCAGGAGAACTCGCTGTCTGTCTGGGGGAAGGAAACCAGGTCAAGCTGAATCTGAGACTGTTGGCCAGAGCAAAGACGCAACATTGAGGGCAGCAAAAGACACCTTAATAATGTGTTTAGCTAAATGCTCCAGTAAACACATTATCTGCAGCTAAATGCTCTAGATTACTGGTGATTTAAAAGGATGAAGTTGTGGCCACATTGAGGATCAAAAAAAGCAGAACAGGAAACTCTTTTGTAATCCTGTACCAGCTGTTAGGTTCATGATATGACAAAAACATAATCAACTCACATCGTCAGATAAGAAGACGTGGCAGATCATTGAGTATTTCTTCTGAGGCACAGAGGAGGATGTGGAGGAAGACTTGGAGGCGGGGTCAGCATCCTGCCCTTTACGTTTCCTTCGTGCCATCAGAACCACAATGGTGCCGATGTCTGCAATATAAGAGATCATCTGCAGAGCGTGGTCCATCATGGCTTCCTGAGTGGAAACAAGACATGAATGTGTTAATAAAAATAGAAGGCGAGAGAAGACGGGAAGGTTTGCTTTTCAATTCAACTTGCAGAGACTTGCTTAAAATAGATTATCCATTACAAATAACACGGCCCAACTTTCTTTTTCTAGGTTTTTTTGTCAGCTGAGTTTGTATTGCCTTGTACAAAAAAAACAAGTTTCATATATGTCAAATCTTGCAGCCATTTTATCTCATTAAATCTATTGAGTTTGAAGATTTGTTTTAAATGATTTCAGCTCCCAATTATTCGATACAATTATAACACCAAAGATTCCTTTTGATTACAGGTAATAATTTAAAATATCATGGTCCTGGTATGAGAGATCAAATAAAAACTCAGTGGCTCACATGTTAAAGCATATCATTTGTAAACTGCGACTGAAACCAAAATGTTAACAAAATTAATTAAATAAAAAAGACACCCTAAAACTATGGTTATTTTTTAAATATATGTGCAGTATGTTGAGATGATGCATAACCTGAAATATCAAAGTAAAGTCAATGAACGAGACAAAAACACACCTGAGTGTCAGCAGTGAGAACTTTGATTCTCTGTGTTGAGATGAACAGATCCACCTCTGTCATTGGCTGGGACTCTCCCTCTGGAGCCTGAAACAGAACCAGTCACACTCATAAGATTTGTATGACTATCTTCACGACAGTATCAAAAAACAGCTAGAGCCGTGATAGAAGAATTGGGATTTTAAAACTAGTCCATGACAAAACAACAACATCTGCTGTGCTTCAGTGCCCACTCTGAGAATATGTTTTATTTGAGTTCACCTTAATGCGGTCCACAGCCTCCTGAGCCTGCGACATACGGGCGTTTGTAGACGGGTTCTTCTCAGATTTTAACTGAGTGGATCCCAGGTACTTGGCACCGAAGATCACTCCATCCAACAGATCTTCAGGGTCACATGGACCAGGCACTACAGGAGTAAAATACATATATATCATCGGTTATAAATTAAAGCAGACCAGGACTTTTCCTTATTTATCTTTTAATAAGATTTGACACAGAAGAAATCATAAAAAGGTGATTTTAAGTGACTTACCGTCTTTATATGTAGGATGATCTGCACTCTGTGATGACAGTTAATAGAGAAATTATGAAACTGTCAAGATCTAATAACATGGTTTTTAAAATAATAAATCAAAACAGTTCAGGAGAATTTCAAAGATTACAATTTGCCTAATTTATAATTTAAGATGACAATAAAATGTTATAATTGGTTCAATTTCAACAACTCTTTTGATAAACAAATGCAATTCATCTTATCTAATTGAATATGTGTTGAGTTCCTTTGAATTGACACAAATCTTTCTTACACAAATGTGTGGAATACAAAACACTATGTATTTCAAAATGTATTAGAATTAATTAATATTTTTGTTTAGTAGAGACGAAATCTTTGAATGAATCTGGTCAAGCACATTTTGGAGTCTATAACTTATATTTTCTTTAATAGAACCTGAACCTACCTGCTCGCTCTCTGCAGCAGCCTCCTTTTCCTCCGGAGGCTCCTCGCCCATCTTCATCCACACAGGCTCAGGATACTCCTCATCAGGCAGCGAGTCCTCCCTCTGTAGCTGCTGTTGACCATTATGTCCCCAGAACCTGTGAGCGTCCTCCTGGCTGTAGGAAACGGACACCACAGCGTCCATGTCTCCTCTGTGGGGCTGACCGGGGGGGCTGGGTGTGGCTCTGATCTCTGTGTACTGCAGCAGACCCTGCAGGTCTCTCTGGTGGCTCTTAGAGAACAGCAGCCCGGTGGACTCAGTGCTGTCGTCTGTTATGAGGGAGGGGGAGCAGAGGTCGGAGTACTGCTGCTGGGCCAGGTGAGGGGGTGTCCGGCAGGTGGGCTGAGGCTCTTCCCCCAGCAGCTGCAGCTGACTGAGCAGGCTGTGGATGCGGCTGTGGTCTTCATCATCATCTGATCTCCTGATAGCCAACACCACATCTTCTTCATTCACCCTTTGCTCCACGACACATATCTCCTCCTGGCAATGCCCAACATCCTCCAAGTCCTCAACCCTCACCTCCTCTTCCTTCTCAACTGTTTCTTCATTTTCTTCCAATTCTGGTACCAGTACTGGTTCTGAAACAGCTCCCACAAGCTCCTGCAGGTTCACACCAATCATAGCCAGAGTGTCACTCAAAGATAGTAAAACTGGCTCATTCGGAGTGGCGTTGTCCAGACTGTCAGCAGAAGGTGGGAAGGTGGGGTCCTCCAGGTCATCTCCGGAGCCCGCCTCACTGGAGGAATCAGACCTCCAGTCTAACGGAGGAGGCTCGATCAGGTTGTAGGATTCAACATCTTCCACCTCCGAACCTGGCGGAGCTGCTTCAGTCTGTCTTCTGGCCCCACCCTCAGAGGCTTCATCGATGGGAACAGTAGCAGAACACAAGGAGTCGGACTGATAGACAGGGCAGACGTCTGAGTCCATTTTAAAAGACAGCCTATTTGAGAAAAACATAATTAAGTTAAGAGGCCATGAGAAAATGGGTTCACTTAGCTTCTATCTGCATGCATAAGAGCTACAGCACTAACACAACTGCCTGTAGAAAACACAACAAAACTATCCCATGTAAAGTATTTTGTGCAAGAAGACACCACTTGTTAAAGCTATAGCACTATGTGATGTACAACCACACAACATCATGACCATCAAGATAAAGAAACAAGCCTAAAGCTCAAAGTACAAGGACAACATGTGCAATATGTGCAACCATAAAACAGACCCTCAAAGCCTATTTATGAAACCTTTCTTAATTAAAACTCATTCAGCTGGGATTACATACATTTCAATGCAACATAATATCTCTGTTTGGATACTGGGTCACAAAAGACGCATTCATGTGTATTCCAGAGGTTGAACCGAGGAAGCCAGGGTTTCAGAAAAAAGGTAATGCTGGCTGTTAAAACGAATCAAACTGGGATCCTGTAAAACACCCTCTAATACTCAATCCTACATCTCAATTTGGCGATAAAAAGTAGACTCAATGTGACATTAGCTCAATGCTAACTAGCTAATTAAAACCTGCAACAAGCCAATGGGAACTCATTAACAACATATGGAAGTTCTGTGTTAAAAACTGTTGTTTAGGCATCGAAAAGACAACTCTCACCTGAATTATTGCGTATTTCTCGGTTTCTTTGTGCCCACACACTCCTCTGGGTGCCACGACAGATGATTTGACGTGGTTTGGCAAACACTTATTTTCCTAAACTTTGGCTTTGTTTTATTCGTCATACTAACAGCAGCAGCACGGTGACATAATATTATATCACATAATCCAAGAGTTTAAAGAAAGTTACGGTGTAAAACTGAGTTTTCTTGTCATTGTTGTCGAGTCGACAGCTTGTATTTATTCACGGTCTCTGTGGCTGTGGTGCGTTCACGTGCTGTTGTTACTTCCCAGTTGTCATCAGTATTTTTGTTTCTTATTCCTCTTTTGCTTAAATCACATGACATATAACCACAAAATATTGACAGCACTTTTTCTAGTCCTGAGACAACAACAGAACAACTAAACACAAATATTAACTTCTTAGTTTGTTTTATTTAACGATGCTATTTATACTTAAAGTAGCTTCCCTAAAGTAATTTTTTGTAACAATTAAATAAGATGAAAACAGATGAAATAAGACCCTGCTCTTGCAAAGAAAAAGGCGGGTTATTTATATAAGGTTGATGGAAATATGCGCTAAATAAACTATTTTTCTCATTCCCGACCCGTCCGTCGGCACCTGAAGGCAACAGATGCTCACGTCATGGGCCCGTTCTCATTTCATCAAATGTCCCTCCTCGACTCCCCTCCTCGACTCCTATCCTCGAGACTTAGTCCCGCCCACAGGAGAAGCGAGCGGAGGAGCCGAGGAGGGGAACCGAGGAGAGAGGAGGGGAAGCAGCAGGCGTTAATGATGACAGGAGGCACAGCAGCCCTCTGTCTGATGGACAGATGTGTTCATGACGAGACTTTAACTTATATATTTACTTTCATTCATTCACAGTGCGGTATAATGAGACAATAACAGGCTACAGATGCGGACACACACACACACACACACACACACACACACACACACACACACACACACACATTTATTTATTTATATAAATGTATACAATTTCAGAATCAAACAGAGCACTCTCATAATAACGTAACACTATCAGAGATTGGATATATCCTCCCCCCCTCTCCGGTCGCTACAATTGAGGAAAATAAATTACGGGCCAAAAGTTTTATTTACAAGTATTAAAAGTAAGCAGAGGACACCAAACCAACTGAGACCTGTCTGTCCGCTGCATCTACGCACACACTGTACCACACACACCTACACCACACACACGCACCTACAGCTCCTAAAGCATAATAATCAGGCTACAGCCGTTGTGTATTTTATTATGTGAAGCACTAAATGGTTTTAGAAAAATATCGACTCTTTGTTTGTAGATATCTACTAAACTAAAGCAAATAAAGAGAGTAGGCCTGTTATACTGAGTGATATATATTATACACACTGCTCTGCTTTCTGCACGGACCTCACAGCTGTTCTCTCTGTAAACATCGCGTCGCGATGAAAGCAGTTAATAAAATAATATCCAGGGGATGCATGCAGAGCTGTCATTGGCTGAGATAAGTCCGGCCGTGCGTCACGACTCTTTGAAACATCTCTGTTCCCGGAAATGCATCCACGGAGGAGCCGTGGAGGACCCATCAGTGTATCCTCGGTTATAGCTCCTCCAGAGAGCCTCCTCGACGCTCGATGCTCGGTCCTCGATGTGCATTTCGAGAAATGAGATGTCCTTCAACATGGCGCGCTAAAATTCATTTCCGGGTCACTACCGGAGGACCGAGGAGTCGAGGAGGGACATTTGATGAAATGTGAACGGGCCATGTTGACGCGTACAGACCATAGACTGTGGGTGTTTCTCAATCGCGAGTAAAGCTGCTTCAGAGCCACTATTTCAAGCATACTACGTCATCGAGTGCCGCCGAAGTACTGTTCCAATCTCCAGTATACTTGGAAATCTACCGAGCCCGGCGTACTCCGTTTGGAGAAATATCGAGTGTGCACATGAGTAGACTTCGCGGTCTTAAAATCCCCACAATGCTTTGCGCACGGACCAATTTCCCCAAATCTGTGGCTGAAGATGTGAGGCGGGGCCTCTCATATGACGCACACCTGCACACTTGCTAGCGTGTTCCTCTCTTTGTTTTCCGAATGTCAGGAAGTATTCTTGACTCGATTCTGAAGCAAGATGCTCGGCAGACATGTGCTACCAAGCAAGCGTACTCGCGATTGAGAAACACTCTAGCCTCGTCTCAATACCCCTCCTCGACTCCTCCTTTCCCTCACTCGCGTCCCTTCCTTGCGTCTTAGCTCCGCCTCCGTAAGATGCGAGCGAGAGACACGAGGAGGTGACGCGAGGACAGAGGAGTCCTCAGGTATTAATTGGGATGTCCTCGTTCACTCAAACGTCACTCTTAAACGACGTCTGTTAATGATGACATGTGCACAGCTGTATCCCCTCTCATTGGGCTTAACTGAATAACCCTTTAGAACCGGCCCATTTGTTGTTAAATATGTATTTAAATTATGAATCTGTCTCTTTTTAGTCAAGGAATTCAATGTATGATGGTTGGTCCTGCTTTTGTGTTCCGTTTTGGTGTAAAATGTACATTTCAATAAAATTATAATTATAATAATGTGAAAGCCTTTACTCTGAACATGTGTGTCCTGTAGATCCCCACATTCACCACAAACCCACATTCAGGACTGTGCATTTTAAATAATTTAACTCCTGAATATCTTAACACAAAACAAAACAAATAATTTGTATTTATCAAGATCTAGCCATTTATGAAATAACTTTCTTAATAGCTATGTTTTAGTGACGTTCAAGATCATTAAACATGACTTAAATTGTTAGTATAACCTTAAGAAATGAATTGCACATAATAATTCCCACGGAGCTGTGAGCACTTATACATTTATGTGACGCTTTTCCACTCATTCTTCCAGTTCTCCGTTTTCCTGTATTGAAATCATAGTTGAAATCGACCAGCTGTGAAGGTGGGGGCGGGGCTTTTATACGCGAGTAGTGAAAACACTTCCGCGTAGTCTGCTCTCGTGTATCCTCCCTTTCGTCTCCTCCTTCACCCCTCCTCGACTCCTCCGTGTGCATTTCAGCTATTGGGACGTCCTTCAAAATGGCGTGTCTTGATCGATTTCCGGGTCAAGTCCCGGAGGAGGGGAAGAGAGGAGTCGAGGAGGGGTATTGGGATGAGGCTCCTGTATATATAAAGGTACAGACCTGTTTAATCAAACATCGATAAAACGATCCAACAAAGGACAATTCCATTTATTTAAAAAAAATAATAAATCATAATCTACAATAACGTAACGCATAATTCAATTTACATTGCAAGCTGCGTTTGTACACTTTGAACATTTAATCACTTCAGTATAAACCTGTTTATATAAGTTGCTGTAATGTAGTGTAGAGAGGGATATCATTTTAATTTGAGTATTCCAACTGGCCAACTCATGAAAAACACAAAAACAGTGTGATGATTAATTCATCAATGCATGATTGAAAATGAGTTATAAGGAGTGTATAATTATTTAAGGCAACAATTTGTAGCCATTATCATCCTAGTAAGTAGGAGATAATAGGAGGTTGTATGTGCTGAAGTCCATACATTTTACACCGTGGAGTGGCCTCCAATTAACCCCAACGTCATTAGGAACTCATTGTAATGTAGGATCTGAATACTGCTGTCTGAAAATGTAAATACATCTGTAAGTAACGACTAACATACATTTCACATTTCATTGATTGATTCATTCATTTCTGACACTTTCTAAAGACGCTTTCAATCACAGCTGATGAAGCACTTGGATGATTGGCAAACAGTCTACTTATCTACTTACTTATTACATTCTGAGTAGATTCTGATCACATAGATAAAGATCTGCTAAACATCCTTTCACTACATCATTTTACATCAGTTCACATCATTCATTCAGTCATCTGTTCCTCACAGTTCAGTGAACACTATGTACTGTCAGTCTCCTCGCTGTCTCCGGCGTTCATCTGGATCAAACCAACCAGAGATGAGATAGTGCCCATCAGCCCCACCAGCCAGGGGGGGAATCGACCCGCCCACAGGAAGCCGGGCGGCATCCAATGAACGGCATTACTGAGGTCAACTGTGCTGCTGAGGATGGTGAGAATCTCCCCTCGCATCTGTCTGCGGAGCTGAGAGGGACTGCAGGAGACAATCACAGGTTCATCAGGACATTTTCTTTCTCACTGCGAGCATCCAACTTTTGAATAGGTGCAAAGAAAGTGTTAAAAAATGTTTATACAACACCTGCTGTTGCCCCCTTCATCGCTCTCACATCTGTTTAACGTCTTCTTCAGTAGCATCAAAACTCGAAGCGATCTAAAGAGCAAAACATTCACATTCACACTTAGTGCTCAATCTTACCAATTGGCATTCTAACAGATGTAAAAAAAAAAATAACACGATACAAATATTTTTTTTTAAAGATAAGATTGTCATTATTCTATATATTTCTTACTGCCATCTAATCCCATAAAAATACCAAAAATAACAATCTTTTGCTTGTCTTTCAGTATTTTCACTTTACACTATTTCCATTGTTTCCCACTAAAGATCTTTAAAAACAGGTCACAAATATTATAATAATTTGTTGCTGTTTGTGTTCAATTGACTGTAAATAAATCTACCAGTATGTTTGATTGTTCATTTTAGAAAAACATAAGCAAATCAGTTTGCCAGCCTTATCATTCATTGAAGTAATTAGGTATGAATTCTGTATACATCTGAATTGTCATATAAGTGACATTTGTTATTTTGGTGATCCATTTGTATTACGTCAGTGTTTCCAGTCAGATTTGATTTGATGTTTGTGTTGAGCTGACGTCAGACCTGAGTATTCCCAGCAGCAGCGAGGATCCCCACAGCACCGTACTGAGCACCCACCACTTATCAGACTTCACTCTGATCAGCTCAGCGTCAGCAGCCCAGGCGATGTGTTCACAGGGGTAGTACAGCTGGTCGGCCACATTGTTTAGCACCGATAACCAGCGGAGGCCTGCATCCTCCTCCTTAAAAATACATGAAGCCATATGCAAGTTTTCTGTATCGTTATCAGAAACAGAAATGTTTGCAAAGAGCGTCTAACAAATGATTTGTTTTAAAACAGTGTATATTTATATTTTGTCCATGTTGTACTCATATTTTGATATCTACTGCTGCACTTTGCCATTTTAACAAAGTCCTACTTTTTATTAAATGTTGTATTATTCAAAAGTGCATCTTGATTCTTTGCAAAGACAACCACTGTCAAAGCTTCATAGGAAC